CCTCCTTTTCTCCAGGCTGAGCCCCTTCCCAGCTCCCTCAGGAATTCTCCATTCCCTTCCCAGCTCCCTCAGGAATTCTCCATTCCCTTCCCAGCTCCCTCAGGAATTCTCCATTTCCTTTCCCAGCTCCCTCAGCCTCTCCTGAGACAGGTTACCCACATTCCAACATGGAAAATCCTGCTGCCAAGGGGAAGAGGACAATTCCTCATTCCACGAGGAATTCCAGGAGCAGATTCCTGCTGTCAGCCCTGCAGGGAGTCAAAACCAGCCAGGAAAATGGGATTGGCTGGACAAGGTTTAGACTTCATAAAGAACAGGACTGGGGGATCCCTTGAGATCCTTTCCAGCTTTATTTTCTATTCTTCCTTTTTCCTAAAGAATTCTCCTGGAGAGGCTGTCCCTGGATCCCTGGCAGTGCCCAAGGCCAGGTTGGACACTGGGACAGTGGGAGGTGTCCCTGCCATGGCTCTGGGTGGGATTTAAGGTCCTTTCATCCCAAACCATTCTGGGATTCCATAAAATCATCCCCCTGCAGTGCTCAGCTCGGAGCATCCTCAGGATTTCCAGCCCCTTTTCCTGCAGATCCCGGTCACTTCCCCCCAGCAATGCCAGGAAATGTGAAGTGAAAATTTTTTTTTTTTTTTCCACCTTCCATAATTCCCTTTGTGCGACTGACGGGAAACAAAGCAAGTTTATCATGACAGACTTCAGCTTAATCGAGGGATTAAAAGTGAATTAAGCCTTTTTTAATTTGTCTCCCTCCACATGCCCCAGACAGAGCAGCAGCTTCAGCTGTGATTTCAATGAGCTGTGGCAGGCAGCTGAAAAATCAGGGATTGAAAGACTCATCTTGCTCGGGAAAAGTTCCTGGGCTGGTTTATTTTATCCTGGGAGCTGCCAAAACTCAGCCTTAATTTATGGATTAATGATCACCTGCACTAAACTGGCTGCTAATAGACAAAGTAATATAATTTCCAAATGAATCAGTGCCACCCAAGCTGCTTTGTGGAGCGAGAGAAAAGCCTGATTTGCTTCCCCTCAATCACATTCCAAGAACTATTCTGAGGAGCCCAGAATTCCCGTGGTTTTTTGGGTAAATATCCTGCTTTTTCTCTGGCATTTTAAAACAATGAGCCCTCTTGAAAGGCTCCATTCAGGTTATTCTTAGCTCGGAGTGTTCCATGTGCCATTCAGCAGGAGCTGGAGCTGAAATTCCCTTTTTTTTAGTGCCTCCCATGGAAACTGGTGACACCATCAGCTGTCAATAATTCCTCTTTGACACCCTGCAGAGTTGGGCTTGGAAAAGCAGATCCAGGGATTTCTACACGATGGAGGAATTTGTTGCTGCTCAGAGGAAGCTGAGCAAGGCACAGGCACAGAGGTGGGGATGGAATCACAGAATCTTGGAATGGTTTGGGGTGGATGGGGCCCTAAATCCCATCCCACCCACCCCATATGGGGCTGCTTCCCTCCCAGACAAGAAATTTGCAGATTGATTGCTGCCTTTAGGCACAGAATCAATCTCAACCAGCACCTCTGGCTTCTGATTTAAATTATTTTATTTAATTGTCACCGTGGGCTTTGGCCTGTGCCTCTCTGGGATGGCCTCAGCTGCTCCACCTCCAGCACCCACTGAAGGTTTTGGGGCTGGTTTCGTGTTTTAAACTGGTCTGTGCTGGAAGAAATAAATGTTTTTGTTATAAAAGTGAGGTCACAGCATTGGATGAGGGGATTGTCCCCCTCTGTTCCATCCTTGGGACACCCCTCCTGGGAAATTCCAGCTCTGGAATTCTCAGCACAGGAAAGTTGTGGATTTGCTGGAGTGATCCAGAGGAATCCAGGGGATGGAAAACCTCTGGATCAAGGCTGGGAGAGCTGGCAATGATGACTTTCCCAACCTGAGCAATTCCATGATCCTAAATGCCCAATTTAAGGAATTTGAATTTTGAGAGTGATCCAAGTTGGAGTGTCGTCCTTAAAAATTCAGACTATTTATTTCAGTAATTTATTTTTTAATGGATTATGAATTATTTGAGATTTCCTTCCAACCCAGACTGGTCCCTATGACTGGAATTACATCCAGGTCTGGGTGTTTCAGGACAAGGAAGTTGGGGATGTGTTGGAGGAGGCCACGGAGCTGCTCTGGGGCTGGAGCTTTTCCAAGAGCTGGGAATGTTCCCCTGGAGAGGAGAAGGATCCAGGGAGAGCTGAGGGCACCTAAAGGGGCTCCAGGAGA